CGTAGTCGCGCCCCTCCCCGAGCGGCTGTGCTCCCGGGTCCTACCCAGGGAGCCGGGACCAACGTGGCGGTCCCACTAGAATTCGCCGCCCCTCTCGAACTACTGGGGACACCCTTCTTCGGTCTCTGTTGCAACGTTTAAACAGCATAAAAGCTCTCGGGATAGAGACGTTTACTTTTCCATAGTTGCCATTAGGCAATTTAATGAACTGGCGCAAATAGAAGGCTAGTCGTCATTATGCGAGTTTGGGTGGAATATTTTTTCCACTATGGTGAAGATTTTCAGACATACAGAAAAAGTTGAAATAGTTTTACTGGTGGAGTATTTGAGCTTAAGTTTTAATTGCAAGATTTAATCCTTTTAAGGTTTAGCCCAAGTGTTTTGTGGTCTTTAAAGCAAACAACAGAGACCAAACCTAGTAAGGTTGTGAATTTCTTTAGATTTTATTTTTGCAGAACAGTCTTGTTAAAAACAAGGTAAGTTTTAGGGAAGCAAAGTGACGATGGAATCCACAATAGCTGGTCTGTGACTGAAGGGATTTTTGTCTTAAAGGTCGGCCACTTTAGCTCAGTAATTTTCCATGTATTTAGATTTTATTTTTGCAGAACAGTCTTGTTAAAAACAAGGTAAGTTTTAGGGAAGCAAAGTGACGATGGAATCCACAATAGCTGTTCTGTGACTGAAGGGATTTTTGTCTTAAAGGTCGGCCACTTTAGCTCAGTAATTTTCCATGTTTAGGATGTGCTTGGGAACACGAGATTTTATTTATTTATTTATTTTTAAAGTCTTATAATTTTTTAATTAGCATATTCATTGTTATAAATCATACTTATTCTTTATGCCCCTTATCCATTCTCTCCCCTTCCCCTCCACTTTTTTCTTCCCCCTCCCCAGGAACACAACATTTTCTGCCCAGCACCAGTGGACTTTCCTGTTTCACAGTGTTACCACATTGTATAGAAATGCCTTTTTTGTGCCCAGCTTCTCCACTCCTCTTCCAGAGTGAAGAATGGACTGTTTATGACTCAGGAGTGCCTAGTTCCAAGGCACGGCACATAGCGAATCCTGCAGAAGTCGCTTGTTGAGCTGAGTGACGGTATTCACAGGATCCATTTATTCTGTCCTTCATCTTTGTTTCCTATCTCTCCTTCCCTTATCCCTCCCCACCTCCCACCTCCTTTATCTTTTTGGTATTAATGTAAGGAGATGGACTACTGGAGTGGTTAAGAATACAGCCTCTTAAAATATACATATAGAAACAACAAACTGTACCCCTTAAACATGTAGAATGAAAAAGAAAAAAAATAATCCAGCCTCTTGAGCCAGTCTGCCTGAGTTCTAATCCTGCTATACGTTTACTCCATGCAAAAAGCCTCAGTTTCTTCACCTGTAAAATGGAGATGATGATACCATTATTAATTACTTAGTAAAGAATCATTGTATATATAAGTGCTAGAGCAGTGCCTGCTTCACTGAGGTGCCAGGAACCAGAAGGTATTTACCTTCTTTGCAGCTATGTGACTCAGAGAAATATCAAGCTCCAAATAATACCCAAATTGTGAGGCACTCGGGTATATGCTTTGTTAACCATCTCATCACCAGCAAATGAGACTGCATAGTTCACAGAGGAAGTCCCTTCACATCTGCCAAGACGCTCTGCCTAGGCATCCTACAGAGGGTGTTGGGTATGTTGGCAGTTCTGTGCCCTGAAGGCTTAGCCCTGGTAGAGAAGCCCTCTTTATAGATCCCCACCCTACCCTATTTCCTATACTGCTAGAAACTCAAGAACCAGACTGAATTTTCCTTTGGGGTTTTTTTTGTCTGTAATTAATTCTTCCTATTCTTTATCCTCTTCTGGTTTTCCATAGTTTGCTTTTCCCTTAGCCAATAATAGCTCATGCTTCTAGACTAAATTGAGAACTTACCAGTTATCCTAAAATTTTTCTTATGACACATGGCCAATTCCTATTTTATAGAGAAATTATTGCATGAAATGATTTTGAAACTGACTGATTGCATAAATTGATGTATTGTGGAAAGTCATAACTTCCCATTTTCGTATTTTTTCATGAGGTAGTAGGTGACCTAACTTTTTGTTGCTAGTTATTTTCTGAATAATACTAAGGGAGCAGTACCTACAATTTCAAAGTGCAGAACTGAGAGAAATGATGAAGAACCAGACTGACACAGCACGTAGTGGACTCTGGGTTCAGACCTGGATTTGAATGCTGCTCCACCACTTTCTAGCAGTCTGACTTTGGGCAAGCTTCCCAATCTTCCTACACCTTGATTTCCTCATCTGCAAAATAGGGCTAATAATACCTACCCTCACAGGTGTATGAAATTAACTGAGTAATGTGTTTATTTAGCAGAGTACCTGGCACATAGTAAGGACTCACTAAGCTGCCACTTCCATTGCTATAGGATACATTCATTATAGTGTGGCTTTTAAAATCTTCCACTTGCTCTTTATTCAAACATCTTTGCATATGGCATTTTATTTGTGCATCTGTGAGGTTAGTGGGACAGATGGCATTAGTATAATTTTCATTTCTAAGGCACAGAGAAGTTAAGTAACTTACCTGAGGTCACATAGCCAGTTATGGTGTGATACCTAAATCTAGAACCAAAGTTTCCTGACCCAGGTCCCAAGTGTTTTCTGCTTTGTCACCGAGAACAGTCTGTTTCTTGTCTAGCCCATATCCTCTGCACCTAGCACTCAGTCAATATTTGCTGGATGAATGGATCAATATTAAGGGAGCAGGCTCATTTGCTTTTTAAGGTTAAATAATAAATCTTATTTCTAAGGGAATAAAAAATACGGGGGATAAATTATTTAACATTTTTAGCACTTTTTAGCAAAATGGATATGAAATACATTAATCCAATAAAGAATATTTCTTCTGTGCTTTATAGCACAGAGAGTAATTGGAATAATTAAACATTTATTTTAAATTCTCTTATATGGGGCTGCCCAGTTAACACAGTTGGTTAGAGCACAGCCTTATAACACCAAGTTTCGGTTCCACATACTGGCCAGGTGCCAAAAAGAAAATGAATAAATAAATTCTCTTCTACAATATGTGCTATTTTTATTTATGTTCACATTACTTCCCTTTAATTCCCCCCTTAATTCCATGCCACCCTGCACTTGGCCAGCATTGACTATTTCAATTTATCCTACTCTTTTAGCTAAGCTCTGTTCCCCACTCCAGCATGCTCCAACCATGAGATGGCAGTGAAGGTAAAAAAAAGTGAGCTTGTGTTTCTGACTGATGTCCTGTAAATCCCCAGCTGGAGCGTGTTGAATCAGCTTGACATTCTGTGGGGACGTGCTGCCCCCTGCTGGACATAGGGACCTCGGCTCTCACCGTCAAAAATAAAAACTCTCCTTTGTGCTGATTATAAAAGCCCTGAATTTTGGAAGCTTTATGAAGCTAATAAACCACAATGAGTTTCTTTGACTATTAGTTCCTTTCCCCCCTCCTAGGGTCACTCTAATTCTTTGGGGTCTTAAGCCTCATCCAAACAAACCAAATGTAAAGAGAAAGAATTGTGACTATTTTCAGATGCGAATTGAGTAATAGGATGCCTATCTCGAAGCATCCTGGGGATTGTTTTTTTTTTTTTTAAGAAAATGAAAGAAAAAGAAGTAACTCTTATTCTCTATGGCCAGAATTTAAATTCAGTGTCTCCATTGTGTTGGCAAGAATGTGAGAAAACAAGCTCTCTCATCGATACTGATAAGATTATGGAAAGCAATTTGACATTTATCAATATTAAAAATACATGTTCCATTTGACCTAGAAATTCTAAATTTTTGGAATTTAGCCTACAGATAAATTTACATAAATGCAGAAACATATATGTTCAGGAATTTGTTGCTGTTTGTTACACTGTTTGTAACAACAGTCAAGGATTGGGAATCACCTAATTATCTCATATGAATATAGAGGCCTGGCTAAAGAAACAAAAGGATACACACTCCAAATCATAAAATATTATTACATCACTAAAAAGAGCAAAAAAACATACAATATGTACTATAGGGGAAAATCTCCAAGATAAATTCTTAAGTGTAAAAATCAAAATACATAACTCT